GTGTAGATTGAAAATTGCTTCTTATCTTTTTACAAAAAATCTTATTATTATTGTATGGAAAATCAAACTCATAATGTTGTGTACAAGGAGGTCTTTAATAATATATGATTGTTTGTTTGTCGAATACTATCTTATTGTACAATTTTTCTGCGTATTATAAAACTTTTATTGAATATTGCAAATAAATATATCCCGTATCTCGCACGGGTCACGTACTATATATATCCTTTCCATTTTTCTGTATTCATGTATATAATTATAAGTCTGGATAAATAGCCTTAAAATTGTGCACCCCGTGTATCTCACCGACTCTGTACTAGTAAGTCAATAAGAGGGTTGACAGTCAAAACTTTAATTTGTATTATTTGATAAGTGACGATTTGAAACAGTTTTTTGTTAATTAAAATTTATATTTCCAATGATTTTATACATCAGACGGTTAATTATTTACTACGGTTTGCATTATATTTTATCATTTTATATGTAACAATTCGAATAATTTTTTTAACTCCAAATTATAATTCTAATGATTTTATACATGGCCATTATTTAGAAGAAAAAAAAAAGTAAAATTCATTTATACTCTCCTTATTTATAAAGAAAAATGTTGTAGGTACATAATCATGTACATAGAGGTGTACATAACACTCACATAGAGTGGGTCCTACCAAAAATAAAAAATCAAGTGGACCCCACTTTATGTGAGTGTTATGTATACCTTTATGTACATTTATTATATATTTGTAGCATTGTTCTTTAGGAGAAAAAAATACACACAAATTCATAATATATGACTGTTCAGATATATAGGTATTGATTAATTGAAGTTTTTGAGATTGAATTAGAAATTTGAACCGTGAAAACCTTTTATTTTATTAGAATTGAGTAGGTTGCTTGGATCTGGTAGCAAGGGACCCGATCGATCTGGCCTTGACCCGAGTATTGACCCGGTCAGGTCAACTCACTTTGACCCTTCCACTAAAGATCTTTATATTATTGTTTATGCTTCTTTAGTTCTTAAAAATAAAACTATGTATATGCATATTTATGATAAAATACAATATTATAAAGACTTTAGAGTATAAATTTACATATAAATAGTTTATTTTTATTATTTCATGGATTGTATAAGGTAAAAAAAACTATAAATATAGATAAGTGTTTTGTAAAATTAATTATCCAATTCAACAATTAACCTTGTGACCTGACGGTTGAAATGATGACTTGGAGTCCAGCCGAGTCAATGACGGATCCGAATTTTTAAACTGTGGTAACACGGACCACCGTAACTTTTCAATAATTATAGACAATTTTTGTACTGCAATGTTAAGACTTTACTAAACCATATGACTAAAAAGTATAAACACAAATTAAAATGAGAATCCAAAGTTTCTAGCACACATTGATGTTACTTTTGTTTGAACTTTCTACAAAACGACCAGGAAATTAAACATTTACCATCCTTGTCAATAAAATGATAAGATCAATATTGCAAAGTTTCATTTAAACATCAAATACTATATATTTTTCATCCATATCATCATTCTACAAAATATTTGTCAATTAAACACCTTTCACATTCATTAACACGTTTAAATATGAATAATAAAAGTGGGCCTACTGTAAATTTTCCTTCCTCATGTTCCGGTCGTCAGATCAAATGAACTATGAGTTCCACCATTAACACCAACCAAATGAATGCTTGCATTCGTTTAAATAGTGTTCATTGTCATTTAGATGGTTGTTTAATGGACAAATGTTGATGCTCCTACATCTCTGAGGTCATTTTTCCAATGAGGTAAATAATTATCTGGAATTCCATGCGAATAAGATAGAATAGGTCATAAGAAATAGCTAAATAGGAAAAAAAAATGTAAAACTATACCTAATAATTTAGTGATTTTATGTAATCTATAATAACTAATTCAAAATGCGAACATTCTACCTAATTTCATGAGTTGCTAAGTAGTTTTTGCAACCTTGATCTGCAATTGGAGAGTAACTTTTGAGATTGTAAAAATCTTCACTAACTAATCAAATCGCGAACATCCTGCCTAAATGCATAAGTTAGTGAGCAGCTTTTGCAACTTTGTGCAATTAGTTAGCAAGGCGGATTGAAGATAAATTAGCGGATTGAGCTTAATTGAGAGGTTTGACCCGTCAAATTTATAGAGCTAATAAATAATACAATCCATATGATTAATTTATCTAGAAAAATATAAAATTCATAATTTCTTCATCAAGTGTTAGTAAATTTAAAAAAATATATATATATTTATAAATTACCAACTAAAGAATATTAAATGTTTTAATATATTATTATTAAAAGAATACACCCTAAATAATAAAATGTCCTTATTGGGCATTTTGCAATGTCAAACATCTATAAGCTTTCAGCTATTTACCAAACACTTATTTAAAAACCGCTAATGCAATCCGCTGGTCAAATCAGCTAATATAATCCGCTATTCGCTATCCGCTGATACAATCCGCTATCCGTTGATCGCCAAACAAGGCCTAAAGAGCTGAAAGCTTATAGCTGTTTGACATTGCAAAATGACCAATAAGGATATTTTATTATTTAGGGTGTATTCTTTTAATAATAATATATTAAAACATTTAATATTCTTTAGTTGGTAATTTATAAATATATATTTTTTTTTTAAATTTACGAACACTTGATGAAGAAGTTATGAGTTTTACATTTTTTCTAGATAAATTAATCATATGGATGACATATTATTATTTATTAGCACCATAAATCAATGTAAATTGTAAAATAATTAAGACAAATTAAAAAGTTCCAAGTAAACTATTTATTATTATATTTTGTGAATCCTCTATCCCAAAATGCTGTCCTAATAAGCTTTTTCTAAATTAGAGTTTTGGCCCAAAAAGCTTATTAAATAAGCTATTTACCAAACAAACTCAATAGCAAATTTGACGGGTCATACCTCTCAATTAAGTCCAATCCATTAATTTATCTTCAATCAACTATCTACGAAACGAGGAGTATCTTTTGATATGTTTCGCTCGGTTTAACATTTTGAGCAATCGCAAATTTATTGGGCAAATTGTCCTTCCCTTAATGGTATATTTTGCAATTTTTAGTTTCCACTAAATATACATAGGGAAAAGACAAAAATTAAGTAGATAAGCAAAAAACTATAGGTATACCTTAACTTGCACTATGTGCTTAAAAATACATTTTACCCACTAAATCACATGCATACCTGCATGATCTGATTCGGAATGTCAGTCCAAAATGGAAATAATTTGCATGAAAAACTAAGATTATTTGTTAGACCATCTTCAGTCTTTATCTTTACTCTAGCGCGGATTTTACTCTACTTTTGAGTAGAGTGAAACAAATACCAAGTTTCGTCTCCAACCCTTATCTCTACATTTTACTCTACATCAAATATATTATTTTTTATTCATTTTTATTTCAAATAAATTATTATACATATGTATATTTAATCTTATATAAATGTTTATTACCTAAATAATAAAAATGTATTTTATGTAGTTTTTATTTGTGTATTTTGTGATTTATGTGTGTTTGAAAACTTTTGATTTTAATGAAATCTACTTGTATTATTGTGTTAAATTTTATTCATAGTACCATTTTAATATTAAAAAATTATAAAATAAAGTTATAATACATAAATTAAAAAAAAACACAAAATTATTTAGCATAAAAATTACATTACACAAAGTTATTTAGCATAAAAAATACACTTACTAATACACATTATATAAAATTTATCACTATTATTACACTACATTACATAAAAAAAATAAAAAAATAAAAAAAATAAAATAAAATAAAATAAAAAAAGATATTGTAGAGATGCTACAGTGTTGCGCCACATCTGGCGCAACACTGTTGCTATCTCCAATATAGCGCACACATCTGGCAAAGCGTTGGACTCCTTTTCAGTGCTACAATAGCGTAAATTAGGAGAGATAAAGCAGGGTTGGAGCTGCTCATAATGTATGAAAGCTTTTAAAAATGGAACCAAAAAGGCTCTCCACTTCTCCACAGTATCAGGCAGCCTTCTTTTTCCAAGTAAAAATACATTTTTTGTGGCAATAAAAAGAAAAATGGCTGATGATCAATTGATCACATTAAAAGATGTGTGTATGAAAAAGGCATTCACCAAACCAAATACCTTTTTCTTTTTTCAATAATGGAGTGTAGTCATAGAATGAAACTGCATATTTTAATTTAATTGATGCATATGTCAATGAACCCAAAAGTGCACTAAACTGAACACATTATATTAATTAGGCTTATAAGTGATTAAAATCTGAATTATTATATGTTTTTCTTTGTAGATTTTATTAGGTAGTTTATAATTATTAATACTTTTTCTTTTTTTTTTTAAAAAAAAAAAAGAAAAAAAACTAAAGTTTTGCTCATTTATAATTTGAGAAGCCTTTTTCACACACGTTTTCAAAACTTTTTTCAGTACGTGATCTACCTAGAAACCTATCAATAAAAAGAGTCTAACAAAAATTTTATTTACTTATTAGCTCTTCGATAGAATGGAAATAAATGTTCTGTTCAAGATTATATTCCAGACACTGTTTAGTTTTGTTTCGTTGTATAATTAAATGAACATATGACATTTATCAAATGTAGAAAAGGTATTATCTCATCCTTGGATATACCTGCATGAGAAAGACCACAGAAAGCCAAAAATTAATAAAAATGCTACCCGTCCTGTCAATTTTTTACGTTTAGCAGCCGCTGGAAACAATTATTTGCCAGCCCATAGATCAATTATCTAAAACTCTTCATAGTCTAAAAGTCAAAATTGTTCCAAACACATGGTGACAACCAAATCAAGGATTAAAATACAAATAGTGATATATTTAATTGACACTAAGATTTAACCCCAACTAATCATGCACAAAGAGGTTTAAACTTTAAGTCCAATCTATAAAAGGGATCCGAAGTTGAGTACAAAAGAACACAACCTAAAAACCCAAAGATGGGAACCAAACCTAAAATGGCTCCTTTTGTTGCCACTCTCTTAGTGGCAATTCTTGCACTTAGCTTCTCATCAATAGCCAATGCAAACTACCAATACTGGTCTCCACCACCGCCGGAGAAATACACTCCGCCCTACGTGTACAAGTCACCACCTCCGCCGCCACCTAAGAAGTCTCCACCACCACCACCACCTGTCCACAAGCCTCCACCGTACGTGTACAAGTCACCGCCTCCACCGCCACCTAAGAAGTCTCCACCACCACCACCACCTGTCCACAAGCCTCCACCGTACGTGTACAAGTCACCACCNTTGATTTTATAACTAAATCCTTCACTCGCGAAACTTAGCCTGAGGATTTCTTATACCCATGAAATGACGATCATATTGACATTTCACGGTTGGTGGACAATAAATCGCCACCACCATCGCCTTCTCCACCCCCACCTTACATCAATAAATCGCCACCTCCGCCTTCGCCATCTCCGCCACCTCCATATATGTACAAATCTCCTCCTCCACCGTCACCTTCACCACCACCTCCGTACGTCTATAAGTCTCCACCACCTCCACTGAAATCTCCTCCTCCTCCACCGTCACCTTCACCACCACCTCCGTACGTTTATAAGTCTCCACCACCACCGCTACCAAAGAAATCGTCACCACCACCACCAGTCCACAAACATCCACCATACGTTTACAAGTCTCCACCACCACCACCACCTAAAAAATCTCCACCACCACCGCCACCTAAGAAATCTCCACCACCATCGCCAATCCACAAACACCCACCATACGTTTACAAGTCACCACCACCGCCACCTAAGAAGTCTCCACCTCCTCCACCGCCAGCCAAGAAGTCCCCTCCACACCGCCCTTACTACTACAACTCTCCTCCTCCACCTCACCACTACTAAGAAATCAAGCTACTTCAACTTTCCAAGTAAGCTATAGTAAATTTACTCCTCTCACTAACTAATTAACCCAATGCTTTTTTTCTTTTCAAATGCGATCATTTACTTAAATTATTTTCGCTAGAAATGGTCAATGGACATATTAAATTGGCTAACTCAACAATTATTATTTTGTAGCACCAGAACATTATTAAACAAGCCAACATGTTTTGAGACCGTTTTGCACGGACAAACATGATTAATTTTTAATCGATCAATAATTAATTTGTTAGTAATGATGCAGGAAATCAAGGAGAATGTCCGAAATTAAGAAGAAGAAGTAGAAGAAAAAAAAAAGTTGGATGGATCGAAAGAGATGAGTTATTTTGCAGAATGAAAGCGATGGATCCATGCAAATGAAGACAATAAATGGACAAAAACTATATATTAATAAGAAATAATCTGGACAATCTCCTTTTAATTTGTGCATGTTTGTGTTTTATTATAGTTAGCGTGTTTGAGCTGTCCCACTTTTATCAGCATGCTTTTCAGAAGTTTGCTCAATGGAATAAAATTCCCAATTTCTGTCGTACATGAATTTCTCTAATGTATGTTTTGCTTTGTGTCATTATAATTATTTTTATTAAATAACAATCACAGGCATGAAATTAATAAATACAATTCTTAAAATCTAAACTTAATTAATCACTGCAAGAAAGGTTTCAACAAAAAAATACCAAGTGTAATATATTTTATTAAAATTACAACGACAATTCTAATAAGAGCATCTACATCAGTGCGTTAATGTGCCGTTTAAACGTGTCCATCCTCCATTTAAACCAATGCACCACGTTCATTCAATAAAAAAATGTTATGGGAACCACTAATTGTGTTCAATACTCTTAACGTCATTAAAGAGTTAAAAATAGGAAATAAATTTCCAATTCCTCCACAGACATTAAAAAGTGGTGGGACATGCAATTATATATTATTTATGATGGGACCCTCATTTTGTATTTAAATGAATGGACAAATGTGGATGTGTATTTAAATGGAGAGATGTTTAATAAAAAGATGATGTGGATGATGAATGGGTATGGATGTGGATGCCCTAATCAAATTTTAACATAAAATATCAATTGTAATATATTTTATAACTAGATTGCAATAATATTGCAACAAATATTTCATTGTTGTAAATTTCGTTTGAAAAATTTGAACACACTCATTTGGAATTAGTGTGAGTTAGAATTTTCGATGAANGCTAAAGCGAAGCCCCACACTTTTAGTAGTGGCTTAGGAATTTGAAATATTCCACACATTCTTTTCATAACTTTTTACTATGCCATTTTTTTCTTTTCAGAATTTAATTAGTGTCTGCCAATTTGTATATTCATATAATAATGCAAAAACATACATAATTGCTCAATTAGGCAAAGTATATGTTATCCTGCCAATTATGAATTGCATTGAAAAAATAGCCAGTATAGAAAACATTAACATTCCTGACTTCTGTTGATATATGAAAAAAAAAAAAATTATCTCACATGCTTGCAAATAAAATGAAAAATGATAAATAAAATAAGAGCAATTGAAGCGATTCCCCCGTATGTGCCCGAAACAAGGACCAGATGAACTAAATGAGTAAACATATAGTACAACTTACATTTCCTTACGTATTATTCTATAAAATATTATATTTCTCAATATTTTATGGCATCTATTATAGTGAATTTGAAGAAAATATGGCATCTATTCATTGTCAATAACTAATTGNGAAATAACTAATTGGATGTTGGTTTGGGACATTGGAGAGCCGGTCCAGTTTTCACCTAACTAATCAGATTCCAATTGTTATATTTTATTGATGACTAATCACCTAACTAAATAATGTATATATAATTTCCACTTGGTTGAGTCATTCCTGTTGACTAAATCGATTAATCAATTTGAATTTTATATAAGTTGTCATCTTTTGTGCAAAAGAAATTATACGTAACGTGAGTAACATGCCTGACTTGTGGAAGCAGGAACAATTTTCCTTTTCCCTTTTTCTCTCTATTATGGGTAATTAAGTATTTAAGGATGACGGGCATAAAATTTATTTCAGTTCATACAGAAACTTGATATTATAAAATTAATAAAAACTATAACGATTTTATCTAACTTTTTTTTTTTCCTGAAAGTTTCACTAATACCAAAGAGTAATTATTATTAATACATTTCCCACCAACAATATAACTGATACTATCATATATTCTAGTTATGGTTGTCAATCAATATTTTATGTAACATCCAACATAATCATTATTGAAACGTATATCTTAATCGGGAGTGCGCTCAACTTTGTAAGAACAAGAGTAAAGACTAAATATAGCAGAAGCAATACATCAAAGATTTAAAAACTCTTCAGAGAAGCATCACACTTCCCCTCAGAGCTCTTTCATTGATAACTCTTACAAACATAGTTTGGTCTTACAAAAACTAGAACTCCCTTCTAGTCTAGCCAAACGATGAATCGATCTATCAACTACTTCTCCGGCCACTTCCCGTGGACTTATTTTCACACACTTATTCCTTAAGTGTAAATAACGAAATGTCTGAATCAAAATAAAGGAAAATACAATCAAAATGATTTCAGTTCTTCGTTAATCGAGTGTTCCGAGAACTGAACTGAAAATAAAATGTAAGCACAAAAACTCGAAGCTCAAATGTGGCATGTGTAAGTGATCATCTCGTCAACCCTACTTCGATCTTTAAGGTGAGTATTTATATGACTTCCTTCGTGTGGAGTCTCTTTCAAGATTCTTGATTTCCTTCCAAGTTTATCCAAAGTCCCACATAGCATTAGGACTCTTCTTTCTCTCCTAAGATCTTTTTTTCTTAGTTAGTCAATCTTCTTTTGATTTCCCAAGATCTCGTGTGTGTCTCTTCCATTTAGCCGCAACCCTACAACATAATACCATAATAAGATCATTTAACTTAATGAATAAATAAGTTGAACATTCGCACACATATATATAAGTAATCCTTGTGCTTGTAGAAATATATCTTCAATATATTTATTTTTGAACTCATGCCAAAAATTATATTCTTTCAATTATAAACTTATCTAATGTAAGTTTATATTTGAAGAAAATAATCTGAAAATAAGTTTTGCTTTTTTATCTCATTTTTCAAACTATATATATATATTGAAAAAATGTATTACATCCAACTTCACTGAAAATAAAATTCTTCCTCGGAAAAGGTGTACTAAGCTTTATTTCGTTAAAATACAAAATATAATTTCTATTTTTTTATTTTTTTTTGTGTAAGAATATCATTCTACAATTCCACTAATTTCATTAAAAATATAAAATAATCATTTTTATCCAACAAAATATATTATTGATTCACTCTCGTAGTTTTAACTAACTATATCATCAATTAATATTTTATTAATTCATTTTATATCAAATCGATTTAATCATTACACTTTTATTTGAATTTGAATTCAAGATCTCCATTTTTTTTCCAATTTTATTTTTTTAAAAATACTTTTTTTTACCTTTTTATTGAAAATTTTATTTCGAAAAACTCATATCTAATTGCACTAATCTATATATATTGAAAAAGAGAGGTCAATAAATCTTTTTGGGAAAGTTTTAAAAAACTTGCAGTCAACCTATTTGACTTACTTAATATGGTAACCAATTTAAAAAATGATTTTTAATTTTATTTTTTTATTTTAGGCGTGTAAAATTTGTTGGCCACCATTTGTTACTCCTTAATTTAAGCATCCTAGAAACCAATCAATTTAAAATTATGATTCCATATTTAAAAACCCAAAGATCCGAAATTTTGATTCCATAATTTACGTACAATTATCAACTATAATTCCTAACAAGGGGCGGTTGTTACAATTTAATCCAAATCAATTTAATATCTTTAACAAAATCAGCATTTTTTCATCTTAAAAAATTTAAAGATTATTATCTTAACAAAAGATTTCCATATTTTACGTGATAAGTTTGTTGTGCAGATCTATCGTGTATAAAAGATTGTTAAAACGCCACTTTTCTTTATCACTTCCTTCACAACATTGCAGAGAAAATAATACAAACGAATTTCAATATACACAGAAAAAACTGCCGCCATTCTTTGCTTCAATCAACTCCGTGACCAAGTCCAACAAACCAATTTTGCGTCTGAGGGTAATCCGACTTATTGAAACGCATCATGATAATGAGAGCTTGAACTGTTTCCATATCCTGTTTCATGATGAAGAGGTAATATTTTTTGATGTTATATCAAAAATACATAACTACGAAAATTATTTTTTTTAATTAATTTCCCATTAATTATTTTTTTACAGTCCGAAATTTAATAATACATCGATTATGTCTATATATTAGTAATTGTAATATATATTTTACTACATTTTATTTTCGACATATTTGTATTAAGATATTAAAAAAATTTCTGAATAATGAAATAAAATGAATATAATAAATTGGCATCACAGATTTCATAAAAATTGTACACCCATTTTAAATCAAACACAAAAAACGTAGTTTTATATTTATCTCCTCGGTTAGAGATCTCAAAAATATCTATTTCCTTTTTAATTAAACATTAAACCCAAATCTTTATTTTGTTATAGTCAATAAATTACACAATCGTGTACAATCGTATAATTCCAATTAGTTGAATTTGAAGGCAATTAAAATTAAATTATTATATTCAAACATTCTAAAATTCGGACATTTAACTTAGATAACTATGGCAAGATACGAATTTATCCATAATTTAGATATTTTGTAAAAAAAAATTAGATCCTGTGGATTGAGATAATTAAGTAAAAGTTGAGATAACTATGTTGAATAAATAACCGATTTTATCCCCAAATATATTGAGATAAATAAGTAAAGATTAAGATAACTATGTAGAATAAATCTAGATTGATTTTTTCGTAAATCCAATTTACTTATTCCTTTAAGTAAATAAATCGAAGAATGATTGTTTCCCGTTTATTCCGTGTTTTATACTCGGAGATTTACCAAATCTTAGTTGTCTAAATTTATCTAAGATTTAGAGTTATCTTGTGTATCATTTATCGCGATTGCCTATATTCTCTACTCTATAAACTGATTATGATGCCCATATATAACTAACTATCCTATACTCTCTCTATTAAATAAACGACTCTCATTGATAAATTTCTCATGTCTTTTTGTCAAATCTTATTATATAATAAAATTCATGGTGGCGCAGATATGCTCTGCGATAAAGAAGGAAAACTCCAATTGATAACTGTGTGAGTTTAACTTCGCATAAACTCTTCAAAGGCGAAACAAGTATTGGACGGACAGGTATATACAATACAAGGCTCCATGGAATCGGAAAAATCAATACCAAACAATTCAATGAACAATCAATCCAAGCAACCCCGCAACAAGTTTAAAAACATGGACAGAAACCAAGGTAATTTCTTTATCATACAATTGACAAATACTTTTTTTATTATATTTATCCAACCAATATGTAATGTTGATGTTTTTTGCAATATTAATCCAATTTTTTTTAATATATCTATATATGAATAGAAGTCTCTTCAATGGATAGAGATGCAGTCAGAAAAAAAATCAATACATTTTTTGAAGCAGA